CTCCAATGCCTGACCCCGACTACGGTACTTGCGATTTCACCCTTTACTATTTGCTCATGATAAATGTCTACAACACCATCGGCTTTGCCTGAAATACGTGTCGCCTGTTAGTCACTCCGTCTCAGAGGCTCATTTCACCCTCTTCCAAATGGCTTGCACTATCCAGAGCATTCCATACCTCCATTCCCCTGCTTTGCACCCGGACAAGATCTTACTCATCCCCTTCCTGCTTGCTTGCCTACTTCTTTTCTTTTCTCACGATAACTCTACCACTTTCACATTGGCGCAACGGTTTCTGCTCGCCACATCTTTGAATCGATGATTAACTGGCGCTCTGCGCATCCGAATTCTTCATCGATCTGTTGCCTTGTTTGCACGGTATAAGATTCGGGAAGTGCCTTTCCAAAAAGAAATCCAGAGTGCTAGCCAGCAGTAAGCCAGGTGAACTCCATTGTTGAGATTTAGTATTGACTACAGCGCAGGGCGTTGGTTAGTCATGCCAACCAACCCAGGCATAGAATATGATACTCACGGCCGGCCTATGCGTGTTCGCAGAACGAACAAGGATAAGGATAAGGACAAGGATAAAGACAACAGGAGTCTTATCTCAAGTACCAGCAGCAGGAAGCATCGAGATTCATCAGCTTCAAGCAGCCGCACGCCTGTACCGCTAGACTCTGCGACGCAGCTATCCGAATACACGCCTCAAAATGCGAACCTGGATCAGTTGCCCGATGTGAAAGACAACCGAAGTGTCATCTCGAGCAGTAGTAGCAGGAGATATCGAGATCCATCAGCTTCAAGCAGCCGAACACCTGTGCCACCGGACTATTCGACGCAAACATCCGACCTCAGCCAACAAAGTGTAAGCTTGGATCAGTTACCCGAGTTGCCGGAATCGGGCCCAGACTCGCCATCATCAACGACTTCTCCAATGAACAGATCGATCTCAAACATATCAACCTCGGCTACGTTAGTATCGCCAACAATGCAGCACCTCCTCCCTGCCTCAGTACAGCCTTATTTAGCACCTTACTGTGAGTCTATTGTTGACCTTTCAGACCCAGCATCTTCTCAACCAACCCCACGAGCCGAAAGGTCGAAGGAGCCTGCCGACGCAAAGCCTGCCGACGTGAAGCCTGCCGACGCGAAGCCTGCCGATGCGAAGCCTGCCGACGTGAAGCCAGCCGATGCGAAGCCTGCCGACGTGAAGCCAGCCGACGCGAAGCCAGCTGACACGAAGCCAGCCGAGCCGAAGCCAAGCCCTCCTAAAACTTCGAGTCTACTTTCAAGCTCAGACACAGCAACCTTAGTTCGCAAATCGTCCTCCGAGTCTGTCAAAACTGCTTTATCTGGAACGTCTTCGCAGCCAGCACCTTCGGGCCAAGATCAGCAGCAGAAGAAATCCGCCTCACTGAAGTCAGAAGACTCGAAACAAGTCTCTAGAGTCAAAGCCCCAGCTTCAGCACCATTGCCATACGGTGTCGGACCATCCGGAGAACAGTTGCATTATTCTCCACAGTTCGCGTATCTTCCTACACAGCAAGCCATCGGCCCGCCCCCTGTTCAGCATGCACCTACTTCTCAAGCCCTCTCTCAATATTCCGAGTACGGACCGCCGAGTCGCCATCATCCGCCACACATCAACCCGCCTGAAGCACCTCAGCCTCCTATCTCGACATACCAGGGTCAGTGGGACAGAGGTCCAATCTCGATTGGGGAAAGACCGGATGATAGCACAATGGCATTGTTCCACCGCATTTCATGCGCAATACCTGACCTCCACGCCCTGATGAGCCTGCATCATGAGGCTTGTGGCATGCTAGAAGCCAGCCAGCTTCATATACGTGACCAGGAAGCGCGGAAAGCTGCTGAAGTACGACAGCTCGAAATTCGCATCGTGCAGATGGAAAAGGATCTTCATTTAATGAGTAAGGATCATTCAACCGAAATTACTCGGTTGAAGCTGGACACACGCAACCTAGAAAAGCGGTGCAAAGAGCTCCAACATAAATTGACTGCAGGAGGGAAGCATAATGAGGCATTGCAAGCGGCGAACGAAACCTTACGCGCTGAGAAGAAGGAAGCAGGACGGAAATGTCAGGAGTATGAGGCAGCGCTGAATGAGACTTTCAAACGCGATAGAGACAGAATGATTGCAGAGCAGAGGACTAACCAAAGAGCCATGCAAGACGAACTTGAAGCACATACCCGCATTGCTGACGCAAATTTGTCAAAACGATTGGCTGAAGAGAGGAGAGCACATGAAGAAGAGATACGAAACCTGGAAAGTAAATGGACTCGACAGAGGCGTGAGCTTGAGGACAGACAGGCGAACCTTCGACGAGACTTGGAGGAAAGCCTCGAAGCAAAGCAAAAAGTCGTTGACGAAGAGCGCAGGACTTATCTACAGGCCAGAGAGGGATGGGATAAACAGCGTGAGACCCTGACACGGAAATGGGAAGAAGAGCGCTCGTTGCTCCAGAGAGCTTCGGACGAACAGCGGAAAGCTTTGACGATTCAGTACCAGAGAGAGAAAGAAATCATCCTGAAGCAAAGCTCGCAGTCACGGAATAGCAGCGAGGCAGAGGACTATGTTCTAGGATTGCAGAGGGAGATTGAGCGTCTGAAGGCCGGTTGGGGTGCTGATAGCTTCAAATTCCAGAAGGCGACTGCGGACTTCAAGACCACGGCTAGGATGCTGAATGAGCAGAATAGTAAGCTGCAGAAATTGACGGAGGCGTTTGGGCATGGTAGGCGTCCCGAATTCCGAGATTTATTGGGCCTAGTCACATTGACATCAAAACGCAGAAGCCGGCTAAGGTGTCACCAATTCCTACGGATCGCCAAAGCCGAGGGGCTCCTTCCGGCACGTCAAGTTTGACAAAGGGATGCCTCAATGGCAGATGATATATCTTCATCAAAGGATGCACTTGTACCCGGGGACAACCGTAGCCTTTCGACGACACTCATGGTAACCGTGTGAGGGCTAAAATGTAACAATGCCATTCCACCAAAGCCTAGGCCGGCTGTCTCTGCGCCTAGTCAGGCCAATGTACACGCACACGGTTATCGGGCAGGTCCTTGGGCAGTTCCAGCTGCAAAAAGCCGTAGATTTGAGGGCACGGCAAGGCAGTTTCACCCGTTAACTTATCTAGGACTGCGAGTAGAGCTCCGTATCCTGCCAGCCCAAAGGCAGCAGTGAAGATGTTGAATGCCTCTTTCTAGCAAATCAGCTCGGCCGTCGTCCTCTGAGAGACTCGGCCTAGCCGAGGGCCAAGACGGCGAGAACAAAGATAACATGGCAGCACGAGAGAGCAAAGCATCTTACCGGCACGAACCATAGATTCTCAACTGTCGCATTCATGTCCCAGCCCTGGAGACCCGAGGTGATTTGAGATTGAAGCCAAGGGTAGCATATCTCGGGGAGAGGGAAAGAAGAAGAGGACCAACATTGTAACATCCTAGCACATGAGAAGATGGTGTGTGAGTACAGTTCATGGTTCTCCAAATTACCTTGCTGGCCCATTATTAACAATGGTTCATTCCTTCAGATATCAAGGATCCTGGAATGTCAAGCGAGCCGAGTCGGGCATTCTCACGAGCGTTGTCATTCATCGTCTGAGGGCAAGAGTACATGGAGGAGGATTGTTGTTAATGTAGAGGATTGTAATCACGAATCACGAATCACGATGATTGAGGGGTTTGCTCCGCCTTTTGAGTTCCACATTGACGAGTGATGTAATCCTTATCACTTGGCACTGTTTCCGTATCCCAGGTACAGGGATGAAATTTGGTTCAGATAGAGTAATGATGAGAAGATCTCTTGGCCTCATTTTATATTAGACCATCGTCCTGAAACTTTGCTGATACTTGGTATAACTCGTAACGAAGAGTGGGCTGTGCTGTGTATGTGGAAATGAAGTGCGACGTATTCCGTAAGTCCTCGAGTCTGAATAATAGAGCCGACATGGATGTGCGTATACAACAACGCAGTGATACGAAGGGAGTAGAAAGTTGGATAAGAAGTGGTAGGTAGATGAAGTGGTGAAAAGATGAAGATAATGATGATGATGATGACAACGACGATGATCCAATAGGTGAGAAAATAAGAATCCAAAGGATTATTAGATCTTCTAGGGCTGATTCCGGAAGTCTGCCCTGAGATGGTCCCTGCTTTTAAGCGAGGAAAGGCTATTCCTTAAGGGGCCTTAGACGCTGAGCCTTGCCGATGCGCCGGAGCAGCAGCCTCAGCCTCGTTTGCTTTCCCCAGCATGCGAACTATTATCAATTTATCATTCTTTATTACTGTTCCTTAGTAATAATAATTATAGCATAGAGCAGCAGTATGTTCCTCGTCACCACCGAGCTCTCCTCCAAAACGCATGTCCCTTTGCCTCGGTCAATCTCAAACCAAGCTCTGTCATTATCCATTTTATCATCATTCTCAAACAAACCCCTCGGGCCATTTCTTCCCCTCCAAACAAGCGCCATTGTTCTTACCCTTCAATACGTATTTTTCAGCATTAACCATTGTTGACCAGGGGTGCGGCGTTGTAATATCCTTAGCCCAGACCCCACCAAAAGAGCCCCGTACCTGACACTTTACCTCATCGTTAACTACTGCTATTCCTTGCCTCTGCGAACAACCATTCAACTCTCTAGAAGCATCAGACTACCTTACATTCTGCATATCATCATTCCACCAACCTTTCCCAATCAGCCTCGTCCCCAACAAGAGCCTCATACAGCGATCCACCTCCCACCTTACCTCGATGGGAATCCAGCCTTTTGCAGCAATGGGCCCAAGATCAGCCTTTTGACGCCTCGTATACGAACCCCATACCTATGCTGATCTCGTTCTCTCAATCTCAAAATTTCCCAACCCTGGGTTCTCTACACTTTGGTGGCGGAGATAGGTTCAGTGGGTCAACGTTCTGGTGAAAAGCCAATCGAAATACCGATGCGATTAGACCCATATTAATCTCCCGCTGGGCAAGATGTCTACCACGCATTCAACGTCTCCAACCGCTGGTCAAAGCTCCCATCCAGTCGGGTTCAACCAGCAAACGTACTACGACCCATTCTTCCCATCTTCCCCAAGCGAGGAACAGCTGGTCCAAATAGACGGTGAACATTCTCCAAGTCACTACTCCTACCAGGCTAAATCACCACCGCCTCATACCTCCACGGCCGACGACGCCAGCCCTTGGCATTCCAAAACCCCTCCCCACAACTACAACCACCTACAACTGTCCTCACAAACCCTTGCCTCCAACAGCTTCCATTCGCCCGATTCTCCGCATTCCGAACTGGAATCCGAGAATCCAAATGCTGCTCATGCCTTCTTAAGCCCTAATGCATATGTATCGGACAATGGATACAGCGGGTCGAGCGAGCATACTACAAGTCCAGACTTTGGCAGCGGCTTCTACTTAGAAGACGACTTTGGCCTGCTGGAGAACCCAAACCAGGACGTCGGTTTGAATGATCCGGCCTCGTTTCAGAACAGCCACCTGCCACAGGACAGCGCGGATATCGACAGCCCACACAACTCTAATTACACACGCACCTCCCTCGGAGCTGCTACCCTCTCATCACATCTTATGAGCCCCGTTTTGACGAATTCCGACGCACCTGGATCAAGACAGGCCACCGCCAGTCCACCAGCGATGGAGGGAGGATATGCCAAACACGAGTTATTTCCCGGAACGATGCCTCCCGGGTATTCTATCAATGACATGCAGCAAGGGAATGCGAACCAGGTTCAATCCATCAGCGCAGTGCAACAAACAACGCCGACCCTGACAGAAAGTTCGAAAGGCACAAGCCCCGACCTCTCCTCTGCTGTGCCACATGTCATGCGCCCACCAAGTCCTGTTGTACGCATCGAGAGCTATACCCGAGGAGACTCCCCAGCTCGGGGAGCGGCGCTGCTAGGTCGGAGCGGCAGCAAACGGAGTCGGGCCGGAAGCGCCTCGTCACACCTTGCTGTACAAAATGATCAGGATGACTATGAAGAGGATGATGATATGCACAGTAGGGGCGCGTCAATCGGTGGCCGATCAGGCCTGGACCCCGAATCGAGATTTCAAGTCAGCAACATAGACTTACCTAACCTCAGGGACCAGGAGGAGAATGCGCAGATAGCAATGAAGAACACAGATGTGGCGGAATGGCTTGCCGGTAACGAGCCGGGTAGCGAGGATGCGCATGATGCTGCACCACGGAGGCCGTCACAGACGAACAAACGGCAAAGGGCGAGGAGTACGGGAGCTCAGAGCCTGTCACATGCCAACTTGGAGAGCTTCAAAGCTTCTGTTGTAGACGCGCATATACCTGGACCTGGAGTACTAATAAATGAGGAAAGTGGCGACGAGGATGAAGAAGATGAAGATGAGGCAGCAAGTATCGACGATTCGCCTCCACCAACCACAGCATTAGGCGAGCCTGTCAATGACACCCCTGGAGAGGCCAAACCTGGGGTATACGATGAGCTGCCCAACCAACCCCCGCTCTACCGTGCGAAAGTATGGCAAGACCCGCTCTACGATAGTTCAGACCCTGGTATTAAGACGCAGCCAGAAACCGCGAACGCTGCCATCATGAGATTTCAAGAGCGAGCTGGAGATATCGAGACACTCTCTCGTGTTGCTACGTGGGGCACACGTCGCCTCAGCGAGTCAGACCTCGAGGGCCTATTTCGCCATTTCACTTTCAATGAGAAGCTTGCCGAAAAGATCAAAGGGAAACGTGAGAGGAGCAGTAGCTTTCTTCAGCAAGCAGCTGCGAAGCTCGTACCAAGAAGAGCAAGTATGTTGAAGCGCGAAGAAAGTGATGCATCAAACCAGCAAGCGGCTCGTCCGTCACCGCTGGAACATTCAAGAAATGACAGTTCTGGAAGCCGCAAGGATAGCCTGGGGATTCCACAAACACCAAAAGGACTTCAAAGAATGACGAGTTTAGGCAAAAGGCCCAAATCGCCTAGGATCAACACTGGGAGTGCTGTGGCCGCAATGGCCTTCCAGGCTGGCGCTCTTGGCGCTGGCGGTTCTGTCAGCGCAACGGCGACATCTTCTCCTACTGGGTGGCCGACGCCGAAGAACCAGTTGAAGCGTCCCAGGAGTCGCAATGATATGAATGCCCTGGGTCTCCAGAGACCTTCCTCGTCAAATACGGATCTTGGTCTAGCTGAACTTTGGAACAAGCAAGGAGGACCCCCACTACCATCGCTTGCAGCGCCTGTCAAGAATGAAGATTCATACCTTAGCCTTCAGGACGCTGAGGACGAAGATGAAGAGGAAGGAGCTGAAGACGCTGGTGTCACAATGGACCTATCTATCCGACCTGATACGATCGTTCCCACACTCGACGGCTTCAAGTCCAACATACGACAACTTAATCCAAGGTTACCTCTATTCATGTTTGATCGAATCGCGCAAGAGCAATTACGACGGTTCAAGAAGCTCATGGATTTCAAGATCAAGCATGCACAGGCACTTAGCATAGGTAAATGTCAATCTGGTAAACATTGCACCGAGTTGGGAGGTGAGCCCACATACCTGCCATCGAAGTCAAGCGGCAGAGAGCCTGAGATGACTCACACCGGTCTCTCGGTCGCTGGCCTGGGACAGTCTGATGAGGACGTGAACGCCTTGGCCGAAGGGATTGTTACCCCTGCACAGTTTCCTCCAGGGGTACCCATGCCACCTGTCAAACGCCTCCCCGCAGAGTTCGAATGCTCGCTATGCTTCAAGGTCAAGAAGTTCCACAAGCCATCCGACTGGTCAAAACACGTCCATGAAGATGTCCAGCCTTTCACCTGCACCTTCGCCTCTTGTGCCGAGCCCAAGTCTTTCAAGCGCAAGGCCGATTGGGTCAGGCATGAGAATGAAAGGCATCGCCAGTTGGAGTGGTGGATGTGCAACATGAACGATTGCTCGCACAAATGTTATCGCAAAGACAACTTCGTCCAGCATTTGGTTCGAGAACATAAGCTTCCTGAGCCCAAGGTGAAGACGACCAAGAACGGCAAGCCTGCTGTACGAGGTCCGTCAAGCCAGAAGGCTCGCGTCAAGCACGGAGATGAGGAGGACTCCAACGACGAGATCGACCAAGTATGGAAGCTTGTTGAGGAATGCAGGCATGAGACGCCAAAGAACCCTAAAGACGAAGCTTGCAAGTTCTGTGGCAATATCTGCAACAGCTGGAAGAAGCTTACTGTGCATCTCGCCAAGCACATGGAACAGATCAGCATGCCGGTCCTTGGGGTTGTGAGGCAGAAAGAGGTCACATCCGAGACTATCATTAGCCCCATTGAACAGCGTGTGATCTCTCAGCAGAACAGCATCTCGCCAACTGCACAGAGTCCGTTCACTCACACTAGCTCCTCTTCCATTTCTCCATTTGGTATGCCAGTGGGAAGTGTAGGTGAATTACCTACTGGATTTACTGCGATGACACCTCAGAACAGTTACTTTGCAGGAGCAACGGAGCCACAGACCATGAACTACCAGCAGCGAGTCTCTCCAAATACGTACCCTCCACCAGGTCATGCACGACACCTGGCCGCAAGTTACGCCCAGCAGCATCGTGGAAGTGCAAGCGGAAGCCCGTTTCCCATGCCGCACTCGCATACTCCTCTGTCCCACTCGCAAGCTCCAATGTCGGACTATAATAGCTCCTTCGGTGCATCACCAGCACCTCAATTCAACCCGGTCAACGCAAGCAGCAGCGGCTTTACCCATCCTCAGCAGGCGCAGCCTCCAACTCAAAGCCCCGAAAACATACATGGCGGCCTCAAGCCACCTACCTCCCAACCACGTGCGATGCCTTACGACAACGGCGAGGGGTTTCAATATGTGCCTCAGCAACAGCAGGCGTTTAGTCCAATTGAAGGGAATGCTTACCAGTTTGGCAATGCGACACCCAGCTCGTACCCGCAACTGCAGACTTCTCCACAGCCCCCGTTCACACAACATTCACCTCCGCCAGCGTCGTACCAGCAACAGACTTCTCCGCAGCCTCCATATCAGCAACAAAGGAGTCCACCAAGCTCATACTCGCAACAACAGCAGCACATGGGTGCCCCCGCACCATCGTACACTACACACCAAAGCTCGATCAGCGGCGGATTGCCAATGACATACGATCAAATGGGGCATATGCAGGGCTACCCGCAAGGAGGCCATAATGCACCTTTGTATAATCATCAACAGCAACAGCAACAGCAACAGCGTCAACAAGGTTACCCATATGGTCAGCATTGATATATAAGCCTGTCGATTCCTAGTGGGCGTAACTATTCTACGAAGATTTACGATGGTGGAATGTACGACGTTGATAGATGAATGATTGTGTAGATATGTTTGCTCTTTATAATTTGCCGGATAAAGTCGTCACCCCTGGCTTGAATCTTTTTGTTTTTGGTATCTCTTGTATGTTTTCCCATGTTTTCCCATTGCATAGCCTGTAGGATAGTACTGCAATATACCACATATGATGCGAATAGTATCATGTCATATAACCATGGTTATGTTTTCGAGGCGAAAAAGCTTTACTCCGTACATTCTAGGTTGCTCAATTGGTAGGAATGAAGATACATCCGTACTACTGCTAGAGAAAGAAAAATCGGGCTATTTGCTATTCTCAGGACGATGGCTTGGAAGATAGATTGTGTCCAAGTCAGTACCGCAGGCAATCAAATTCATGTGGGTTGTCGCGCGTAGCCAATGAGCATTGTGCGAAGGGTAAAGGGTAATTGGAGGTACCTCCGTAAGTTCGGTCAGGAGGATTGAGGGGTTTCTGCGCCCCGAAGATAGAAGGAAGAACCAGGCAACCACACACACACACACACACACACCTTTCCGGCGGTGCACATATCTGCAAGCTTCACTCTTTCTCAGCTCCACAATTCTTTCACCGAAGTTGCACAGAATCATCTTATCTTCCAGTCAAATGTCGACAGCTAATATGCTGACATTGTGCGACGTATGATATTTTGCTCCGACATTTTCTAGCGCGACATCCGGTCCAAATACACCAGGAAATGAAGGGAAATGAGGAGACCGGGTGCGTACCTGCATGGTAAGAATAATAATCAACGCGGGTCTCTCTTGTCACTAGAGAAGGCTGTGCAGTGTGATCGGATTGCTAGTATTAGTGCCCACCTCCCCTCCCCCCCATCCGCCCTCAATTTTGGACAGCTTGGACAGCTGGGAGAATTTGTCCGTTCGCATTCGCATTGCCTCAATTGCGGAGCGAACCCCCAAAAACATAGCACTGATAGCAGCAACTATTACCGTTCAGGCGCCATCGCTTTAGTCACAATTTACGCATCCTAACATCGCAAGCAGGCATGTCGATTCGATCACGTCGTAGCGTTTGACCTTGACCTTGACCTTGACCTTCGCCTACTATCTCCATCATGACGCCTTCTAGGAAAAGGCCGTATGTTGATGCCGAGGCTCAGCCGGAGGTAGACAGAATCCATCACCATGCCACTGCAAAAAGAAAAACCCGGCAAAAGTTGAGCATGGCTGATTTGACTACGTGACAGTTTCATTATGGTCGCAGCAAAAGACATAACAGATCTCAATATGGATACCATCAATTACAGCATATGAATGTTCCGTCAACCTCCATCGCTATTGACCCTGCTCTTGAAGCTTACACCAACACGGCCTCTTCGTCGAGCGCTGACCTCAACCAATTGCTACTCCCCACCCCTGGTCTTGAAGGACCCACATCACCACGACCCGCTTACCCACGCCAGATCAATGATCTGGAACCCCTTACTCAAGACGCACAATCGGGTTCCGTAGGACATCAGGAGCCAGAGCCGAATCCATCACTCAACTCTTACCCCGAACCGTGGAATCCGCAATTTGTCAATGGGGGACCTTTCCAGTATCCTATGAGCCGCGCTTATTCCGGCGCCTGGGGACGAATGAACTATCCGGTTCCAAGACCACAGCATTGGCCTCACTCTGCTTCTGAGATGGACTGTAGCGTCTCGGGAAGATATCCCCCTGACTCTGCATATTACACCAAAAGTCCCGCAACCCAGTCGATCTTCAGTGGTGAGTTTCCTGCCTCGAGTCAGCAAAGCCTTAACGGAGCCATGAACGCCATGGAGCTTCCGAACGACCAGATACCGTACATGCTCTATCCAACTGAGAGACCCTCGCAAGTCTCTCAAGAGGCTCAATACTCCTATGCTGAGCGACCCGATGCAGAGCATCAGATCGAGAATAGTGTTGAATGGGTTTGCAAGGAGTGTGGACCGCGAATAGTTTTCAAGAACAAGTCAGAATTCAAGTATGTCCAACCTTAACTCTAGCTTCGACTGTCAATGACTGACATGGGACAGCAAACACAAACTTCGCCATGAAAAACCATTCAAATGCGAAGTAGCAGGCTGCAACAGAAAGACGGGTTTCACCACCAAGAACGACCTGGACAGACACAAGAAGAGTATTCACCAAGTCTACACTGGCAAATCTTACATGTGCGCTGCACCTCACTGCGCCAAGAAGAACAAGATTTGGCCACGTGCGGACAACTTCCGGCAGCACATAAAACGCCTGCACAATGATTGGAATCCTCAAGAGCTCATGGACAAGTCAGTAGATCTCTTCGAAGTCGCGCACTCGATGAAAAGGTATTGATAGTGACGTAGGTCCTGGGAACGTGGATGCTCTATGACTCAAGGTGGTTCTAGGCGCGGTCTTATTCATTCGTTAGAGCTCTGCCAGCAAAGCATTTATGAAGATGATGGTACCACAGAAAATGATATGCCGTATTTGGTGACTCTGCCAGAGATCGATGACTCTTCTAATGTCGACAGTATCTCGACTCCGTATCAACAAGGCAATGCGTATATGAGCGCTACGTCTCAAGACTCGGCCAATCTGTATAGTGCCTCGAACCAGGACGTGGGAGACCTCATGGACTTAGACCAGGAACTAATCGACCAGTACCAGAGGGTAATGACTGCAGACGGCCAGTATGTTTCTCTAGCGCCGGAGCGATGCCTTGCCACCCCGGGATCAAGTTTTGCAAAGCTCTCGCCACCGTCCAGAAGAAAGCAGCCGGTAGTCCATAACCCAAAAGATTGCCCAGATGGTTCAGCATGGACCGATGCTCGAGGATTGCAAACAACAAACACTGATAGATCGCGGACTTTGGCAATCTCAGCTGACGAGGCATCCCAAGCCATAGCTTCGGATCTCAGCAAAGCTGACCCTCGAAGTAAGGAAGAAATGGAATTGGTCATCAGGACCAGTGTTCTCAGTCTACTGAGTGCCAACAAGAGTCGGAAACGGAACCCTCAAGACTCGCCTTGCAGGGAGCTTACGGATCCGGAAAAGCAGCTTCAGTGTCGATTCTGCCACAAGAAGAAGAAGACTCAGTGTGATCTCAAGTACGTTACCGCTTCGCCTTTCTGAACCTTTCGGCGTCGAGGCATTAATGAGATACGCTAACGTCGACAGCAAACACCTTAAACGCCATACCCGTCCCTACGGCTGTACCTACACCAACTGCCCACGCCGCTTCGGCAGTAAAAACGACTGGAAACGCCACGAAAACAGTATGCACTACCAAGTTGAAGCCTGGAAATGCGCCGAACCCAAGATTTCGGACGGCTCCGATTTCACCACGGCCAGAGGCAAACGCTCAGGGACCATCGAGACTACCACCCGGAAACAATGCGGCCGTCTCCGTTACCGCCGCGAACTATTCATGACCCATCTGCACGAAGAACACAATCTCGCCGGCCGTGAACACGAGCAGTACGTCAAAGACCAATGTAAGAAGCGCCGCGTGGGTCGGAATGGCCAATGCGGCTTCTGGTGCGGTTTCTGCCAGACCGTCGTTCGGCTCGAGAAAATGGGTATCGAGGCATGGGATGAGCGGTTCAATCATATCGATGATGAGCATTTCAAAAAAGGCACCAGAGTCGAGGATTGGGTGCCGCTGGAAGGGGAAGTGCCGAGGGGGGCGTTGGAACTTGCAGAGGTGTGTGATCCCGAGAAGGAGGCGAGAGAAGCGGAGGAGGAGAGAGGCAGTGATGAGGAGGATAGCGGGCCGGATGCCGATGGGGATGGGAATGGGGACGGGGATCTTGTTGTGTTGGAGGCTGGTGGACAGGAGGAGAAGACGGCGAGGGCGAAGGCTGCTGCTATGGCAAGAGCTCGGCGTCTACCGAATGTGGCTGGACCAGTGGCTAAGGGGAAGGTGAGGAAGCTGTGGTATTGCGTGAGTTAACTTTTCCTATGTTTCTTCTTTGTTTCAGGAGTAGGGCGTTCCTCCCGTAGCGCTCGCTAACTCCCAGGACAGTGCAGATGCGGCAACGCCGGGCTCAGCCGCGATCTGGATCTGGTATGCTGCACGGAAGGATGCAATCACCAGCGATGCGATAGATGCGGGGTTGAGGACGCGAAGGTCCCCGAGTACGGTTGTGAGATGGTGGGCGACGCATCGTATGCCGCCTAGCGGAGATGTTGGTATGTATCATGAGTGCGTTGGAGAAGGGTTGAAAGGTAAGGAGGCTCGTTTGCGAGACGGAGAGAAAGGTGAGTGACGCACTTTGAGTCGTGGCTGTACATGTGAGAGAGATGCTGAGAATGGCATAAGCAGCAAATAGAAGCAATCACGGCTGAGAATTTCCACCTTGCGTTCTTTGGGTTTGGGAAGGCTGTTTGCTAGGTAGCCTCTACCGAGAGGTCAAGGGTGCTCTAACGAATTGATTACTGCGAGGATGTACATCAGCACCTGAACATGCCGAGGATGTCGATCCGGATACTTTTAGTCGTCCCACATTTGAAACAGTGGAAAAGTGTTGGGTTTGCCGTAAGAACGCGACCTGAACGATGTGAACTTAAATGAAACCGTAAGAGCCGTTATCCTCTTAGGGCTTTAGCTTCCAGACTTTCTCCATGCAGACCACAAGGCGATGGTTGTGTACGTTCTTGGCGTCCATCAGCGAAGCGTTGTGCCATGTGACACCGAGGCTGGGAAAGGTGAAATGTATAAGTCTCTCACTTCACGGATGATGAAGTCAAGGGAAACGGTCACGTGAATGGAACAAGCGTTTCCTCTTGATCTTGGTAATGGAACTTTGAGGCTGAACTTCACTTCGCCTTCTCGACGACATGCTCCCACAACGATTCAGGAAGAGTAGATTGTTCACATCGAAGCAGCATGCAAAACACACAACCATCAGATCGAGTGAAGACTATCTCTTCAAGAACGTCGTTTGATAATATAAGTGCATAGCCACCTGTGCCATCATCTCTCGTCCGTCCGACTCTACCGATCACCAGAAAATGCAAAAGTCCACTTCATCGCTTCCCGTAGTGTCCAGCCTCGTTGGCTACGTTGACCATGCCTCCCGGAATGACCAATGCTAGCGATGGGGAGAAGCCAGGCGGGCTTTCTTCAACCTCGCCTGCATCGCCCACACGTAAGTAATCATCTCACAGCCGCTCAGCGTGTCTCTCGGCCTACCTTGAACACAGCACAGCACTCAGACTTCGACGAACCTTGTCTTTCCGCTCCAGATGCGCGGTCATATGTCTTCACGACATGACATTCCACTCGGAGACAACTGCTCATCGCTGGTTTCAAAGTCTGAGGCGAAGAAGCTGCTATGGACCTGTCGAGGAGCGCCACTCGTATGCGGGACCAGAGAGCCGGATTCCGATGCACAGCCCAGGACTGCAGATTGTACCATTGAAAAGAGATGAAGGCTACAATTTAGCTAACGCATATGAGGACACAATCTCATAAGCAAGCCAGGACGCTCAAATGACCAGAATGTTTGAAGAACGTCATCATCCTCTCTTCGACCCACACCTTTCGCTAACAGGAGCGCTGGACCCTTATGCTTGTTTGTTTCAACTGTGTGAGAGAATACAAGAGGGGACAGAGCCAGAGACTAAGATGACAGCGTAAAGTAACTACCGTGCGAGGGCTGCGAGGCGCTCAACATCATTGAAGGATGCAAACCGAGGATGGTAGAAGTAAGCCGAGGTCTGAAGGGAAAGATTCAGGTTTGCCAAACGTGTAGAGTGTGAGCCCAAGACTGATGAATACAAGGTCGTCAAATAGCCAACTGAGCTGCTGAGCTGCCCTACAGCTGGAGGAAGCAATTCAAGGGTTGATGTTCCAAGGAACATTCATAATTGCATAATGTTTTGTGCAGGATTTGTGCCTCCAGTTCACGCCAAGCATTTGGGACACGAAGGTTGCATTCTGGGGAAGGTCTACATCTGAGAAATCATTGACTGTGATCATGATGCTATTCCATGAATGTGCCGCCTCTTTGACTGTCAATCAATCCATGCTGCAGCTTCAGAAGATTCCTGAGCTGTGCCTCGCCGTTGGATGCCGCCAGCAATGGGGCTCGACGTCACCATTCTTCCAAACGTCATTGGTGTCATGACCGGCTCCAAGGCCGTGCCAACGTCATTTGCCCTGTCCCTGTCAAAATATACTTGAACCGAGACTGCCATGCTCAAACATCTCACAGCATCATCTTCGATTCTAGCTCGAAACTTCTCTCCAAGAACCTTTGCCAAACTTCTACCAACCACCCTCAACGTGATCAGAACAATGTCTTCAGACAATCCCTCAGTCAGGTCAAATGAGGACCTCAAAGCCTCCAAGCTCTTCGATGTTTCCAACTTTTCTGCCGTAGTCACAGGCGGAGGAACCGGAATCGGTCTCATGATCACCCAAGCATTGGCCTCCAACGGCGCCAAAGTCTACATTACAGGACGTCGCCAAGACGCCTTGAACAAGGTGGTGGAGCAATACAATACGGGACCTGGCAAGATCATTGCCCTTCCTGGCGACATATCCAGCAAAGACGACGTCAAGCGTCTTGCAGAGGAGCTGGCGAGCAAGGAGTCCAAGGGAATCCATCTGCTTGTCAACAATGCCGGCATTGCAAAAGATGATAATACTCGATTTTCCAAGGCCGGAACGCCAGATTGGACCTCTGCAAAAGCTATCTCGGAGCACTTTATGCAGAGTGAGCCCGAGCAGTGGGCAGAAACATTCCAAACAAACATCATAGCGCAGTTCTTCACTACCATGGCTTTCTTGCCCCTGCTGGAAAAGGGCAGGAACGTTTCGCCTGGCTATACCTCCTCGGTTGTCAACGTAGCTTCCATATCCGGCGTCATGAAGGGGACAAGCAACGGGCAGTTCGCCTATGCTACATCGAAAGCTGGTACGTCGTCCTGTCGAAAGTCCCGTGGCTCCTCCATGCATGCTCACCTTTCATCTCAGGCTTCATCCACCTAACGCGAATGATGGCCACCACTTTCGCCGAAGCCAAAATCCGCGTCAACTGCATCGCGCCAGGCATCTTCCCCAGTGAGATGACAGCCGGTTCGTCAGGAGAAGACCAAAAATCCAAGCTTGACATGAGCATGTCCAATCCTGCGGGTCGTACAGGCCATGACTCAGACATGGCTGCGTGCATCCTCTTCCTTGCAGGCCCTGATGGTTTGTTCTTCAACTCCCAGGTTCTCTATCCTGATGGCGGTAAGCTGCTCCATTAGCGCCTAGTCTGCATTTGATGGATTTGCTGACCTGGGATAGGCAATATTCTCGTGCAGCCAGCTGCGACGTAGAAGAGACAATAGGAAATGAATTCTGTGAAAGGTCAGGGCAGCTTTGCTGAGCGTGCTGTACATGTATTCCGAAAAGCGCAAAAGTCAAGACTCATCTTTCATTTGCAGCCTGCTTGATCGCTTGCCGTCACCTTCAAAAGCAATCTCATAGAGCTGTGGAAAGAATACATGTGTGAGACCGCATGGACTTCATTGTTCCTAGCAAGACATCTCCTTTTCACCCACGCAAAAGCTTTCCGAAATATCTCAGTGCACACTGCCCCCACACAACTTCAAAACAAAAAAGTCTTACATATCTCCCCTCCCTCAAACAACCTCCAAACCCTACCCCTTCCCATCTCCCCACCCACCTCCACACACGAAACCAGAACCGCCCTTCCCACCAACCCACCCAAAACAGCACTCAAACCGCCCACCAGCGTCCCGTCCACTCCACCAGCATGCCTTCTCGAGCCTCTATCTACATCACCAACACCCCACCAACACCCCGAACCGCACTCCTCCTGCTCCCACCACCTCCCTCAACGAACACCCACCCACCGCCCAAATCCTCCTCCTCCTCCTCCTCCTCCTCCCACCAGCAACAACAACAACAACAACAACAACAACAACAACAACAACAACAACAACAACAACAACAACAACAACAACAACAACAACAACAACAACAACAACAACAACAACAACAACAACAACAACAACAACAACAACAACAACAACAACAACAACAACAACAACAACAACAACAACAACAACAACAACAACAACAACAACAACAACAACAACAACAACAACAACAACAACAACAACAACAACAACAACAACAACAACAACAACAACAACAACAACCCAGCAACACCGACCCGGCACGACAACCCCGCACGACAACCCTACCCACCCACCTCGCTCGTCTTCTTCTTCTTCTTCATCATCAGATACCGTACTTGCCTCGAACACCCCCCATCCCCATCCCCATCCCCATCCCCATCCCCATCCATCCCCATCCACCCCTACAACCCGCGGTCCAGCACCCGGATCCCGGATCAGCGGACGATGCGCCGCCGGTGCGATCGGATGATGATGATGATGGAGTGAGTGAGAGGGGAAGGGGGGCGGGGGAATGGCGTTGGGGCCGCGGATCGGGTGCGTGGGTCGCGGTTTGGCGGTTGCCGGTTGTGGGGGGTTCGTTTTTGTTTTGGGGGTCGTGATGTTTCCGGAGGGGGTTAGGAGGGAGGGGGGGTTAATGAGTCGCTGAGGTTGTGGGGAGGAGGAGGCGGCGGGAGGAGGAGGAGGAAGAAGGAGAAGGAAGAAGAAGAAGGAGAAGGACTGGGAGTTGAGGATGGGATTTGGGATCACGAGGGCGTGGTTTTTTTTCTATGTGTGGAATGAATCACCGAACGGTAACGGATTCGAAATCTGCTCTTTCCTTTGACTTGTTCTAATATCTAGCTATCATTCTATGATATGCCTGCCTCAAATAACATTTTGTCATGTTCTCATTCTTACTCTCCGCGTGATCATAAACTGCCTCCTTTTAACATTCGAAAGAAAGAGAACAGGCGTTTTTCCCTCTTCTAGCAATCAAAAAGAGAGAACAGGCACCTAGTAAGAAAGGAGACAAGGAAAAGCGTTCCTTGGTTTGCTGTCAGAAGCGCCATCAGCGCCATCAGTGCCATCGCCGTCGCTCTAGGTTTTCACAACTCCCGCTTCCCATTTTGTATCTCGGCCGTAAATGCACGCTTTGAGACAACACGGACGACATGAACAAGTTGGAAAGGACATGAACAACATAGACACCGTTACCTCAAGCGGAAAACATCAAGAAAACACCCACAATGCAGGTCCATGGGCCCATGCCGATGACCACTTCAAATGGCCCAACTCCCCCTTCTTGCCCTGGCACCCCATCCGCCATCGGCCTCCTCCATGACACCCATCTGCGGTTGCTGTCTGCCCCACTCCCTCACATATCTTCTCAACGCGCACCACCTTTCACACCTTGTGTTTCCTTCCATGACGCCCCTCACGTCACTTCCTGTACCTTCGGGCGCCCCAACGTAGCCTTTCGCATTGACCCTGCCGTCGTCTTTGCGCAAATCCTCGATTGGGACTTTGGTGATCTTGCTGAGCTCCTCATCGTACTTTCGCGCGAGGGATGGGTACCCGAGAGAGAGGTAGTTGTAGACTTGGGTGACGAAAGTGTCATTGAGCTCTTGCTCTATGGAGAGTTCGCGGTGGAGGGTACTGTCGATCTTGTTATCTTCCAGAGAGCTAGGTGGGGAAGGAGGAAGCTGATGGCTGCCGTAGTCTCCGCTTGCTGAGAAGGGGTCGCCGCGCTCAAAGCTGGGCGTGAGGAGACCACTCTTGAGGGCTTGCGGGACAACCATTTTCCCTTGTGCGGCGGCTGCGTTGACACCCATCCAAAGACCATTGATCGAATCGTGCGGACTGGATCCACCACCTGGGGTCCATAGACCAGTGTGTTGGCGCGTTTCGTGTCCTTTGTAGTTCTTCATGCCAGGATATTGGTTAACATCCATGCGGGTGACCTGTGGGGATAGGCATTTGGGAAACTTGAGGTTCTCGCCGCCCATAGGGGGACTTGCAGCACTCCTCATTGGCTTCATCTCATTGTCTTTCTGCCATCCCATGATATCCTTTGGAGGGGCACCAGCGACTTCACCACCTTTGTGGACATTGCCTGTATCATGTACAGACTTCTTGACGGACCGCCGGCGACCGTACTCCGGTTGTTCTGTAGCCCATTGATCTCTCTTTTGCTGCTCCAGCTTGTCTTGATGTTGCCGCATTTCAGCCATATCCCATCCCGCAGCGGAGTCTCTTTGTTTGCGGCCTGCAGGGTTCCGGCCGTCCTCATCTCCCGCGCCGTTCAAACCAAGATTACCGACTCCAGCTTCGACATCCAATTCTTCAGAGTCCCGGTCGATGGCATAATGATCTACGGGCTCATGCAGGTTTTCGTTGGGGTACGCGGCCATTGCCTGTTCCCTCAATTGCTTCTCTGCGGCTTTGGCGGCTAAAGACAGCAGGTATCCAGCGTATTGATCATGCTGGCTCTCACGTCGAGCTGCTTCCTTTTTCTTCCTTTTCTTTTTCCGCCTGCTTGTTTGTGTTTCGTCGGAGTCGGCAGAGGGAGAAGTGGACAGGGAGGGTAGGCTCGAGTCATTGGACTCCTCGCTTTCGGTTTGGGACTTGATGACTGGCAGGTCTGGTACGCGGAAGGAGTGTCTCCGTTCTTGTTTCTTGGCTAAGTTGGAGGATGAGAAGTTGGATTCGGGGAGTTGCGGGACGTGATCGGAGCTGACAATGGGGGAATTGGCTGGAGGGAATGGGAGAGCGCTGGGCCTCATATGTCTGGGCAGATGACCCTGGTGGCCGGGGGCGGCATCAGTCTCATCCGTCGGCGTCACAGCGGGGCTCGTGTCGGTATTCCTCCGGGAGCGGCGTTGGGTGTCAATGATCTGAGGAGCGAACCTCCGGGGCTTTGAGGAATGCGAGGCGGATTCAATTGGGTGTAGTGGACGTTTACCTGACGTCAGTGGATCGGGACAATGGTCATGCGATGTGTTGTCCATGCTTGAATTACGAGAATGCTTGATATTCGTCTCTACCGGTTGAGGTAAAGCTCGAGGTGCTCTGGTTCCACTTGCACCCATATCCGCCGAATGAGCATTTGTCCGTCTCGTACTTTCCTCTACCGGTTGGGGGAGAGGATTTGGAGGCGAGGGAGGGGACGGGGGAAGCATGATTGTACTTCTGATGACGCTGTCTGTTGATGATGATGACAAGTAAATAGAATGGAAGGAAGGAAGGGAGTCATGGCAGGACAGGAATAAGAGGAATAAAGTTCAATTCGATAATAATAATAAATTGAGATAAATGGATAAAGTAGATGATGGGAAACATGGCAGCATAAGGTAGCTTTTTAGTTTGGCATAGCGCTATCGACAACGGGAGTAGGGAGACTGTGGATGGGTTATGGACGCTTGATGAGATGATGAGCATTCCTGCTGCAATATCGATTATTCATTGGTTGCAATTTTATTACATGCGACTGCAGACCCAACTCAATTCAATTCGTCTGAATTTGAACCTACCCCCCACCCCCCAAAGTTCCCCCCAAAGTCAATTTAATTGGAAATCTATTCATGTAATTCAATTTATTCAATCATTTCTTTACCCAAATCTGATTTTCAATCATGACCAAGCCTAGACGTCTAGAGCCTAGGTACCTGTACTAGTACCTTAGAGCCTAGAGCCTTAGGGCCATTGACACTTGGTGGGGGGAAAGAAAAGGATCTCTCAAGGCCTTCCAGGGGCCCTTGAATCCTGAAACTGCATTACCGTTCGCATGCATGTTCTATTTTTCAAAGTTCGACAATGGTGCTACGAGGACAAAAAAAACAAAAACAAAAGGCAATCGAGGTTGGGTATGGCATCGGAGAATTGGAATTGCATCTTTCAGTGCTGCCACACTTCCATTCATCTTCGGCGACAAGCACTCAGGTCAAGCTTGCAATAAGCGGTGTAGATGAGTACTACGAGTACAATAAATACCGAAGATAAAATGATTGGACCCGCTGAACAAAAAAGATTCGTTGCTTCGTCCGATGAACCTGTCGTTTGGGGTAAACAAACAAACGAAAAGAAAAGAAAAGAAAGCCTCGGCCACAATGGAAGAAAATGTTGGAGATGGTATCGCTAAACATCTTCTTCCTCGCCTTCCGCATCCTCTTCACCCTCACTCGTCATCACCATGCTCTTGTTTCTCTTCTTTTTGCCCTCAGTGTTGTTGACCTTATATCCAGTGTGCGCCTGCCATTCCATAAAACGTTGCTGCATCATCCAATCCCTCAGCTCTTCATCCTCTATCTCGTTTTCCTTGTTCATGTCATTCTTCTCAAGATGCTTGCCTACGTGTTCGAGCCGGTCGGTCCAGCTGCCGGCGCCTTCGAAGACCTTATCCGGGCAGTAAGGACACCTGCTCCGCAGTGGGGGACTCCTCAGCTGTCGGTGGCAGCGGTCCTGAGTCCCGGAAATCCCGCCTTCGAAAGCCGCTTTCTCAGCAGGTGAAGCGGAGGCATGAGGCGCATGCATGCGCTTCACGTGTTGTGTGAAAAGGTCTTTGCGGTCGAAGTCATGATACTGATACTGCAACTCGTTGGCGTTGGCCTTCTTCCCAAGCGACGGCGAGACGGCGGACGAGGGCGTGCAGTTTTTGTGCTTCTCTGGACCGGCGGCGCCGTTTGCGGTGGTGATGGGGTCTGCGCAGGTACCGAGGTCACATCTCCACGTCTCGAGGTGAAGATGCTGGACGTTGATGTGCCGCTTCCATTCGTTCTTGCTGCCGACAGTGGCGTTGCAGCCGTACCGTTGGAAGGTGCAGATGAAGGGGCGAGTGTGCGTGGACAAGACGTGCTTCTTGAGCGTGGAATCGGACGGGAACAGTAATGGACATTGAGTGCAAGGCGTGTGGTTCCGAGTGGATGTGGGAGACGGAACTTGGGGTTTGGCAGTTTTCTTCGCGACCTTGTTGGGGATTTGGGCGGGAAAAACCGGGCCCTTGGACCTTTGAGAGCGCTTGGATGCCAGTCCAGGCTTCCTAGCGGCGAAAGAACCTCGAGCAACACCACGTCCGTGAACGTGACCTGCGGTTGCGGGAATGTATTCGTCGTCGTCGTCATGTTCTGCGTCGTCGTCCATGCTTTCGTCATCCTCATCCTTGACTGAGACTATGCTGGTGCACTTTGGAGCGGGTGCGCCCATGGGTTCGTCGTCTGGAACATAATCGATGGACTCATGATCAGGTGTGCGTAACCCAGTGTTCTCGAGATAGTACGTGTGGCCAGTCTTTTTACTGTGGAGTTCTGGCTTTGCGCAATTGTCCTCGCCACAACTGTCAGGATACTGCTGGAGTTCCTGAGGCGAAACACTATAGCCATTGAGGTAAGGTGATCCGCCGACGTGATCAAAACATATGCTAACTCCATGACTGTCTTCGTTCCACGGAGGCAGCTGATTGTTGTAAGTTCCATCTGCTTCGGACCGACTGTCACTGGTGTGGGGAGTCCATGAGTCACCTCCTGAACAGCTGGTGTCTTGCTCTGTTGATGTCCAGTGTTCGCCCAATACGTTTCCTTTGGGTATTTCAAGTCCATGCGGTCGTTGATGTGGGTAATAGTTTCTTCCAAAATAATCCGCGTGGCTCATTCGCCAAGCGTGGGGTGCATCAATGATGCTGCAGTCTTCCGAAAATCTCATATAGGGCTGCATACCTCGAGCTCGGTAGATTGATTCTTCTCTAGATACGTCCATGGCTGGAAAACCTGCTTCCTGGTACATAGATGGAGACCATTCGCTGTTTCTATGCTCGCCAGGGATCAATGTCCGCTCATGCTCTTCTTCTCGCGTTTCCATGTGTGGCACGCCAGGAAAAGGGCGAACAGCTCTCATGGCGATGAAGTTCCAATTAGCAAGGTTGAAGTATTGACTCATGCAGCAGTGAAGAAAGGAGTTGAAGGGAAGAGTCTTGGTGTCCCTCAGAAGGGGTAAAAAAGGGTTCGAGCGAAAGATGGCCTGGGTTGATGGACAGGAGTTTGAAGCCTGATGGGAGCTCGAATGGTAAAAGAAATGGTGAGTCAGATTTAGTAGGCTGCCGAGGGTCAGGGCAGGCGGCAAGTGAGACGAGCCTGTTTTATCAATAATGGACCTTTAGCAGATAATGACGAACACGGAGAGATTATGGATGTAGTGAATTCAAAGGAGACAATTGAGGCGAAGCATTCCCAGGAGGCTTTGCGTTGGGCATACAGGTAAGTGCACAAAAATGATTGAGCACATGCAGGACTTATAGGGGCTTGTGTCAAACTTGTGCCTCCACAATAATGCGAACTAAAGAAATTCCCATCCGAAGAGCCGCACCGTGATTTCGGTAAGGTCGTTCCAGGCGATGGTGCGAGTGATTCTTAGAATCCCTGCAAAGTGTGTAGATTCGTTTTCAAAGTCAATGATAGGAGCATCAACTACAATGGCAGATGCAACCCAGATCCTTCGGTAAGGGTGTGCTCGAGCGTTAACTCTGCCTGATCCGGGGCGCAGAAGGAGGCATGATCATCGAAACATTAACTCCTGAGAGCTAGACTCGAGACTCAAATTAGTGGAGGTAGGGTGAAGATGACTGCAGGAACGGGCGGCCGTGAAGATGAATAGCGAATAGCCCCACACCTTACGGCACCAGCCGCCTTGATGCGCTATGTGCCTGCGGTGGGGTATTATTGGGGAGGCCAGTGAAGAGTGCTGCTCCATCAGCTGAGGCTGATGCAGTGTAGCATGTTGCATCGATTGCGCCGTCGGTGCATGCATACATCTCGGAATACCGAACAGGTCCAGTAAGATCACGACGGGCCAGGCGAAAATGTGCTAAACATTCAGCCCGTTCTGTCGTTTAACCCGCGCTATAGGAAGTCGCACAAGTTCTGGCAGTCCTGGCAGTCCTTTCTTGCTGCATGTTGATGTTACTAGTCCTTTTCCTTTTTCCCGAGAGCCTGCAGGACTTCGTGGGAAAGGAACGCTTGATTCGAGCGTCTAAAGGCTTAGTGAGGCTCTTAATACCACATCGAGTGTGGTGCGTTCCTGCGCCTTGAGATAGGGCAACGCCCCGTTTTGCCTATGTTAAGATTTTAGCGCGGCGGAGGGTAGGACTCAGTCTGATGATGATCCATGTGGCATGATCCAAGCCACCACTCGCTATCAACCGTTCGTATAAACCAATGAATACCAAAGGACTAATCACTCGTAGGGTTTCGATGATGCATCTCGCTACCGGTGCCAGTCCGGTTTGACAGTTAAGCGCCCATGAACATTTGGCATTTGGTGACTGGAAAGTGGTGTTGGTGTCTTGTGCGGCTCTGAACCCATTTTCTTCCCAGGGTGACATTCGCGTGCCCCATTTCTGCTGCTGCTGCATGCTCGAAACGGAGATATTCATCAGTCTCTTGTCAAATATGCGGTCATGTCCGTTCATGCAGAAAGTCGGCTTTTCTTTTAGCAAGCTGATGTAGCCATGTCCTTCCAGGACCGTAAGTATGAGTTATTGGTAAATGGCTTCTGCATCCACCCGATCTGGGCTGCGCGAAACTTGTGAGAACCAAAGTTAGCACAGCTTGAACATGTGACAAGATAGTGTCTCAAAGCAGCTGAGAATAATAGTAGAAGTTGTAAAGGTGAGGCAGATTTTGATTTTCTTGCAGCTGTAGCGCTAGCAAGCCTCACCGGCGAAAATCGCGCCAAGGCCGTGGCTGTGTCCCTCTGGCAGTGATGGCAGTGATGGCAGCCAACTCTTCTGTGAATAAATCCAGTAGACCCATTGACCTTTGAGCTATTACTCCAGACAGCTTATACTACTGTCTGCCGCCAGCAGTGACTATGACCTAAACATGCAGCATTTAGCATGGTTGGAGAATCGACTGCCACAATGATTACATCATCTGCATGGACCAGACCCCCATCCCCTGCTTTTCCAGCCAATTCCTGCAGCCAGCTATGACTCAGCCCAAAGGGCGAGAGTCATCAAGAGAGATACTGTAGACCGGCTTGTTTTTATTTTATTTTTGTTATCTTTGCTTATTTTAACCAAAAAGCACAGGGGTAACTTCTAGAATCAGGAGAACTACTATCCCATTGTGCCGGCCATGAGTCAGGGAAAACATCGACTGCCTTATGTGCTTCTAGTCCGGTTTTCGCAACGATTTCAAGGCCCCATTGTCCAAGATACCATGGCTTCTTCCATACAATTTGCCGCAGATAAGGTTTGGGTACTGGAACTTCCCTTTCCGTAGGCTTTCAGGCAGACCTGCAATGTGGATGGGATCTGGCCATCCAAGTTAAGTGTGCGTTGCTGCCTACGGGGCTGATCGGGGCCTTCACAGTGGTTTTGGTGATGTTACATACCCCCAATCTTGGACAAGGAAATTCATGTTGCGCCGGGATTCACTAGTCCCCAGCGCTCGATTGAAAGCCTAAGGACACTTTGTATTTGCAGAACTGACTCGCTTTGGTACTCCTCAATCTCGTCTCTACTCTGATCTAATTCATATACTCTCGTCTCTCAACAATCTCAAAGTACTATGCATGCAATAGTAGAAAAGCAAGATTGAAATCTTCAACTCTCTCGCCCGACAACAAGCCAACACAACCCAGGTCAAAGGCAGATCGACACATCTGAACCTCCTTCATCACAGCATCTCCCTCGGGACATTGCAGAAGATTGACAGTCAATGTCCGGTCTCGTTGCCTTTGTCTGCGTCAGGTGTCCGCCGTGCTTGATTTTGATAGCGAAGAACCTCTTACCTTTCAAAATTCAACAGGGCTGACTGCAACGAGGGCAATGCTTGCCGGGAAGCACCCACTGCTCAATGCCTTTCTCGGCACAACGTGGGCACTTAACGCCGGGCATCTTGCACGGCACCTGTTAGCCAACAAGAAGAGCCCGTAGATTAGATGTGAGAGACTTACAGGCGCGCCACGTGGATCACCTAAGCCTGCGCGGAGAACAAATGTAGGGACACCTGGATCCGTGACGAGCCCCTCGGAAGACTGGTTGTCCTCGAAGTCGTCATGGTCATGGTTACGAGGCGTCTCGAAAGGCTCGGTGGCTTGAAAGTCGTCGTGGTTATGAGTGAAAGGCATCGTGAAAAAGCTGTGTGAAGGTTATGAAGGGTGTGAAGATGGACTGACAGTGTGCAGTATTGACGTGGTATGGAAGGCTAGTGAGTCTGTGAGCTTTGATTCTCTGAAAACGGGGGATAAGATGCTGATTATGTAGACAATCAGAATACCTATCTGTGAGTTTCGAAACTCGCTTCTGCATGGCCCGATCATCTCCGCAATCCGATTCATACAATCCCTTCTCACCGCGTCGCGAGGTATCATTTTCACAAGACGAGGGCCCCGTTTCCAAGACTGACTTGGACCCTTCCAAATGCAATTCGCTTTCATCAGACACGCACAAAGACATCGATCGATAGCTCTATTCTACACCGATTGATAGTCCCAAAATTTACACCGAGACAAGGGCCCGCATATGCTCTTTGGGCATCGATTGCAAAAGGAGAACATCCTTGGAAGCCTCTTGGCGTGCTCCAAGTTGGAGACTCTGAGACCATCCTGCGGTCAAGTAGCGCTCGGATATCAGCATTAATGGCAACGGAAAGGCTCCAACCAGCGCTGCTAGCCGGGTCATTCATATGGCCTTGATCAAGAGATACGAGCTTAGGCGAATTGACATGGGCAGAATTGTGCGGACAGCGATCACGTTCGATAAGCGCCAGCATACTTCGGATGTTCTGCTAGCTTTATGAGCAAGACCAGAGTCGATCCAATACATTCCGCCGTTACAAATGAAATGCTGCTCACCAAAAAGCCTAGTCCTCTGCTCGCGCTTCTGTTGGACATTATACGCCGCCCAAGGCTTGCAATGCAGGCATGAGTTGAGCAGCATCATACAACCCACACCGCTGCCTGTGATGATATGTAACACGATTGATAGACTTGATATTCTGGAGCCAAGGCTTGGCCATTGTCGCCAGGATCACCGATCAGAAGGCGCTTATACAGGCAATGGCCATGCTGCTAGAAGTCAGGGGTTTTTGCCAGTCACCGACGACTTATGTCGACCTCAGTCAGTCCTTTTCGCTCACCTCCTATTTCGCAGTTGACATCTTTTGAACTTGGAAATTCGAGCCTTATGGTGCAAATTCTACCCACCGCTGACCGCCACATGATGCCTGATAGTTCTGAAGGGTCTGTCCGGCTACTCACCTCAAGTGCTGCGACGCATCACAGGAAGTTGAAGGCCACTTGAAGAGGGGAAGGCATTGGTGGCATGCAGGGTAAAAGGCTAATGCAGGGCAGGAGCCATCATTCCGGTCTGCAGGTCACTCACCGCTACTAATCTGCCGCTCTCCTTGGATTATGCGGCGAGTATGGATGTCAACTTCATCAAATTCTGTACATATCGTCGTCGAACAATGGGACATTGAAATCCATGTCATCCTTTGGATGTACCAGAAGCTTTCAGTGAAGTTTGTAAAGGTATTCGAAATCGAATCGTATGCTAGTACTCCAAAGCACTAGTGTCCTGGTTTTTGCTTTCTAGAAGTCTCAAAGCGGGTCACGGTAGCATGCTTTCTCCGCTCGCCTGCATGAATCCCGAGATACCTGGAGAGCCTCTTAAGTCCCAACAGCTTCTTGCCGAGACCTCCGAATCTCAGCTGGGCTCCTCGTGGCTCGAATCTCGGGAAAGGCGCAATCTTCATGGCTATGCACGCCAAGGCAGCCCCTCGATCGAATATTGAATCAGTCCAAGCGAAGTCTAACCCCGCAGGCTTTCGTTACGAGAGAGCCATGTCGTAGTCCACTAGGCAGCTCACCACAAGCCTGCGAAAATTGACTTCGTAATGCATTGACGACAGGTCGTAGCCTCGTGGCGCCATTGCGGTCAGGTCAGAGTCTTCTGAATACACACCAAAAGCACACCTTTACTCTCAAAGCCAGCGCCATCAAGCAAATGCACAAAGCGATAGCCTGCTCTTAGACGATCGAGCCTGATGCAAGCCCAAGCAGCAAGGTCATCTTTGCCAATCTCATCGTCTTGTATCTTAAATCTATCAATCGATCGAATTAGCTTCCGAAGCGTGGAAAATCAATTTTTTGATAGCGTCGATGGATCCATAATTGACGCCTCGGCGCGCAATTAGTACTCAACACGGACGCAGGCAGAACAGAATAAAGTAACAAGTGATGAGAGGTAACATTATTGACGCAAGAATAGATAGCGTCACCCTGCTCGCCAGACCCAACCATCATCTGGCCTTTTTCACTTCTTCACACCGAAATCTTGTCACTCCAGCTTCTCGCTGATTGTCAATGCCCAGCTCTATCAACCAGCAGGACCAGGGAAAACAAGAGGTGCGCAAGGAGGAAAAGCGCAAATACCTGAGGAAACTCAATTCTTCCACCACCCCCGGTATCTCCTTGAACTCGACCTTCTCAGCCCCAAAATCTACCTCCGTACCCTTCATCGTTCTGCTGCTCCATTTGTACTCACCTTCTTTAGCCTTGCCACCACCTTCGATGGGCTCGCCAGTGCGCTCTGCTGGCTTCTCAACGTGGAGCTCACATTTGACGTAGGGATGGAAACCGGATGGTCTGGTATCGCCAAGCGGGAGCGGAATACTCTGAGCAGCGAATACCTCAATGGAAAGAGTGAGAATTTTGTGCGCGATAGCGTCCGCTTGGGATTCTGTAGATAATCGCGGAATTGCTGACGACGTCTGATTGCCAAGATAACCATTAGGCTTGAGGATATAGCCACTACTACCGCGGAACATGGCCTCATTAAGCATCATACCTTCATCCCATCGTTGCCAATTGAGTGCCACCATCTGCACGCCCTTCCGCCAAAAGACAGAAGGGTCCAAATTGTCGCTTCTGACACGCATGCCAGAAGGAAAGGCCCGCATCAGGTAATTGCGATTGTGCGAGAAGAGCGTAGGACCAGACGACGCGTGTACCTCCATAAGCTTCTTCTCCGAGAGCGAGAACACGTGGGTAGGCAGCATAGCTTCGGGAGCGGTCAATGACTTGAAGTGGTACGCTCGCGTGTAGATGCCCAGGGCAGACAGAGATGGCACGATAGAGGATTTCTTCTTCTCTTTCTCGGGATCATGGGTGGCGTGGAGCTCTTCGTTTTCCGACGCAGAGGATGACGACCCACCCCTTGATTTGGAACGGAGGTCAGAGGAGACTGCATTTTTCCCAGGTCGGAGCTTTGCTGCTGCTTTCTTGGGATTGCTATATTTCACTTTGACAAGAATCTTGCAGCGGAGTGAGTCTGGACTGGGAAGTGTTGTGCAGTCGGATACTGGTAGCGGGACTAAAAAGCCCTTCCAAACAGATTTCATAATTTCAACCATTATCTCCTGCTGCTCTGCGCCAGCGTGGACTTCGAGGCTGACTATGACCGGGAGATCACTATCGTAGGAGTCAGCATTGAGACTTTGTCTCACACTGGCCATCATACCTTTTCGAGAATGCTGAATCTCGTATGGCCTGGCAGACATCTCGAAAAGGCACTTCCTTCGTAAGAGTGTGCCCGTGGAGGACCCTTGGTTCGGCCCGTGTAGCCGTAGAAGAAGAGGTCCAGGGTGCAGGCATGTCCAAGAACTCATCCGCACCTTCTGTCTCAGGAGGTGTAGAGGCGGCAGAGCTTTTCTTTCTGTGAAAATGTTTGAAGGGACCGTGATTGGAGAACGTTTCAGGCACGTGTGGTCTGAACCTGTGCCTCTTTTCTTCGCTGGAATTTCTTTGAGCCTCATCGGAGGAGGCCTTGGGTTCGCCGTCCCAAACATCGATCTCGATGCATCTGCATCCACGTACGAGGACCTTATGTGTTACTCTCGTCAGATCTCATACGCCTGAACGTGGGTTCCGTGTAACGGAAATGTAAAGCTCTCCTTCCTATCATTAACGAGGGAGACGTACATTCTTGTATGCATCCGTACTGGCTGTGCTGTAAAGCTGATTTCCTGTCAAGTATGTGTTGTGGCTGCTGTTAACGAAATAATTGGAGATTGGGTGGGTGAGATCTATTGGTGGTGTGGAGTCTGAAGCATTGGAGTCAGACGAGCTCATGTACTTCAGGAACTTGTTGTCGTGCGGAGGCCTTCTAAGCTCTGCGAGTTGCGAAGGAGACAGCTGCCGTTCGCCGGACGAAATTGTCTCCAGGTAACTTAGCACGATTGGGGAGAGGCTTTGGAGGGCGAAGGGTTCTTCGGAGGGAGTCTTTGGGACTGTGATCGGAGCTGCCATTGTGAGGAATGGAGTAGTGGCAGGACTGTCACAAATCGTTTCGCAAGATGTACCAAATATGGGGCTGTCCGTCCCGAGAAGGCTTCATGTAGCGGCGCAGTCAGCACGGACTGAGGCGATAGACAGTCAGCGCGAGCGCAAGTGGGTAAAGTATGAGCGTGAAATGAGCATGCAAGTTTTCAGCCAACTGTGTTGAGACTAAGAGGTACGTCGAGCCCATACTCCCAAGAGAGTCTCCAGTATCACTTTGTGCATGGCGGGGTTCTCAGGTCATTCTTGTCATTGAGGATGATATGGCAGGCTGCTCTCTTCTCTAGAGTGATGTTCAGCATGAACAGTGAAGGGTATAGTCGTAAGTGTAATAGTACAATGGCGATTCTAAGTTCAGATGGGATGATTGCTCTTGCATCCACTTGCTCTGAAGATTAATCTACTGAGAGTGAGACAATAAAGCGACCTATAACTTCAAGGGTCCCTTCCGTCCTGGGCGACAAAGCGGTACCTACTTTAGACTAAGGTAGAATAAGGTAAGCCCCACACGGGAAGAGCCGAGAGGAACCCTGCCTCCCTGCAAAATGCTCAACTTCACTCCCTCGACTCCATCCCGTCCCAGCTTCCCTCCTGGCTCGCCTTCCTTTTATCATCATAACCACGCATTACATGACAGGAAGAAGAGCATACAAGTACTGAGTGTGGTTTTGTTCGATGAGACGACGAAACTTGGAAAAGGAATCTCTGGGCTGTCAATCTCAGACTTCTCATTCTATCTTGTCATAAGACAAAAGACTCATACATGGATGATACTACTCTACCTGCAA